AGATGTGCAACTGTTTAGAGCTATTGGATTGGACTGTAGTATTATAGTGATTGAAAATAGAGAAAAATTATATATAAAAATATTAACAGCTCAGACACGACGAGTTTAACTGAATATACTCTTGTTCCTATGATTCATTATTATTCGCATAAATTTATTACTCTATGCTCTATCGCACGATATCTTCACATGACATCCTATATACGTATATCTATTTATCTTCGTCTTACTACTTCAATTATTATCATTTGTACATAGTCTATTTATCAACGCATCACATGCTACTAGTTTAGAGCTGAATCGTGAAGAATTTACGAGTTCAATGACGATGACCTGACTTTTTCTCGGAAATGCAAGTGTCATAGACATGTCTAGGTCAACTGTTCTTTTTCTCCTTTAGATTCATAATAATTCCCATATCTCTCGAACACTATAAAAATGCTAATTCGTTACGAATATTTACCCTGTTATCTCGTATTACTGCGTTATTCGCTTTCAAAAACACGTGAATCCCGAGCATGACGATTTACGAGATTAGGATGCAGCAAGAAGACTATCATATAGCGGGAGTAATAATACTATGCTCCAGTATAGCCAGAAATTCACTTCCTGGCAGCTGATATCGCCTTTACCCTCCTTTTCTCGAATCTTCCAACCATGATATGAAAACACTATAACGTACACGACACTATGATTTCGACAATTAAATCTGGTCTTTGCAATATTACGTTTCTCATGTTAAATCGAATTAAAACCGAGAAAATTATTTAACACCGGGTATACTGTATATTTCTACGTTATAAATATAAATTAACAGAATTTAAATTTCCTTGGAAAATTTGCACGATGCATATTAATTAAAATTAAAATTAAAATTAAAATTAAAATTATGCATTTACCATGTGCATGGCAGAGGTTAATTCTATACTCGTGAATTTATGAATAATAATAACCGAGCCTAACACAGGAGCAATTTCACGAGGTGTTATATCATGGCCAGTGGGCATCGCGCGAACGAAACAAGTTCTCGTTTGGAATCGTCAACTCGGCCATAGCCAGCCGCTGTGTCATGAATGGAACCCCATCTCCGAAAGAGTTCATTCATCCCGTTCGTTCCATTCATCGCGGTGGAAAGATTTCCGCGCGCAAAAATAGCGTCGGCGTGCATCCGCGCGATAACGTTCCCGCGGCCTGCACTAGATCTTGAACAGTTTCAATGACAAGCGGCGAGACGTCTCGTTGCCTGTGGCCGGCGATTCCGCGAAATCGCTAGCGAAACGCTCGTCTGCGCTGAGCCCGCGACGCGATAAGGGAAGTAGGTCGTTGAAAAATTCGCCGATACCTCGGGAACTAGGTGGAAAAATGGCGGCGAGATAGCGAGAACGCGGCAACAGCAGCGCCCTCAGGCCAAGTCCGACGGCCGCACTCGACCGTAGGGCCGGCTTACGTAACTCAACGCCAGCGCGCGCCTTTGTGCCGTCCGCGCTTGCGCAGTGATCGCCGCGGATATGTCCGTCACGCGCAACACCGGCGACCTTCCGACGCGTGCACGCGGGTCAGGTTAGGATGTATCGCGTTACTCCCCGGTCTCGACGATCGTGTGTACGACTGAGAACAGTGTGAGTATAACGTACTTTGAGTAGAATGTGGGCGAGTTTGGGCCTGATTCGAGTGGCTTTGAGTATAGTATAAGTAAATTTCAGTGTGGTATGACAGAGTTTGAGTATAGTGTGGGTGAGTTTGAGTATAGTATGGGTAAATTTAAGCATACTATAAGTGAATTTGAATATGGTATGAGAGAGTTAAAGTATAGTGCAAGTGGGCCTAAGTATAGTATGAGTGAATTTGAGCACAGTATAATTGAATTTGAGCGTTGTATTGGAGAGTTTGAGTATAGTGTGAGTGAGTTTGATAATAGTATAGTTTAGAGCTGGGTTTTTGTGGATCCGCGACCATTTTGTAGTTACTGCTAGTCAATATTTTATTTTACATGGGCCATAGAGGATACGGTATCTAGAAGGGAGTCACAGCACCAAAAAGGTTGAGAAGCACTGTAATATAATTGTATCAAACTAGACATTTTCTGAATCTACAATTTGAGGAAGTTTTAAAATTCACCAAAGCCGCGAATAATTATTAAATTTAGGAATAACTCCTTTGTCTTTAATTACACAGTCTACAGCAAAATTTCAGATGGAGATATGCAGTGCTTATAATATCGGTACTTAATTTCGAGAATATTGTATTATTCAACATTTCATGTGGGACATATCCGCGGAAGTAATCGCGAATACAATGGCAGATAATAAAGTACACATTTAATACTGCCCAAGCTTTTCATATTTTACCACAAAATTAACCAATGTTGCCGAAATCATTATTTCTACACTTTGAGTCAATACCGTAACACGTATTATATAAAACATATTACATTTCCTATATATTACATTATTTACCAAGATCTCGGAAATTCCCCCAAAAGTAACTAAAATATAAAAAAGAAATAAAATAATACTGTAAAAAATATTATAAAAAAAACATCATAAAAAAATTTCAATAAAATCGTTTACGTGTGAACGATGCTTTAAAAATTCGAAATCCTAAAGAACCCAAAAAAATCATCGACATCGATATAAATCACTCCACGAATCAAAATTCGTTTACAAAGAAACCACGTCACTTCGAACCTCATCAAAACAGGGAATGAGAAAAGTAGCCAAACATACCCAAACCTAACCTAACAGACAAATCCTCTTACCCCAACTCCTCTGGCGACCGCAGCGCCGCGCCACCAACGTTGGAAGGCGATTTTCGTCGATTTTCATCGGCGTGGTTTCCGTTTCCCCGTGACGATCAGGCATCGACTCTCCGGCCGTCGTATAAACAGCGTGGAGTCGTGTTCCTAGAGCGGCAACGGCTAGCTGGTCGGGTCGATGTATTCTCGGTTGTTTATTTAGGCCAGCCGAGGTGAATCGCTCGGAACGACTCGAACTGGCGTGCGGACGCGACGTGCGCGCCGGAAGTGCGCAGAGACGCACGGTGGCCCGCGAAAAACGCGGCCCTCTCCCCCACTCCTCCGGAACGATAATGGATCCCGGGACCGCTGCATTATCGTCGTTTAGCCGGCGCCAAGATCAAAGGGTCGCCAGCGGTTTTTCCTTTAGATCGGCCGGCGAAAAAACGAGCAACTGGCGCGTTTCTTTATTTTTCGGCTTCTCGTCTTTTTTCGCGCATCTCTCTTCCGTCGGGCTTTTTAGAGGACGGCTGTCCTCTTTGAACCACGGGAACTTGTTTGCATCAACACCGCGTTTCCCTTCTGGTGCTTTATCGGTCCCGTTGGACCACGATTTTTGGCGCGGTGTTGAGAGGGTGAAGTCGTTTCGTTCGCTTCGCGAGATTTACTGGATCGAGTTAAAACGGACCAAGTGGTAATTTTTATGCACTTGGGGGAGTTGAGTGGGTCGGCAGGCGACGGGGTATCGGTAGCGCGAATTTTAGGTTATGGTGCATGGCTCTTTTTATATTCAGAAATTTTTTTAAAAATATTCCTCGATATGATATTCTGTATTACGATACTTCATATATATTTTATATTAATATTAGGATGTTAAATATTATGGTATGTTAATATTTTGGAATATAAGAGAAAATTTGGAAATATAGAATGATGTGGAAATTTTAGATTCGTTTGAGGTTAATGGAACTGAGGGTAACGAAGAACCAATTTTAGGTTATGATATATGCTTTTCTTATATTTATACATTTTTCTATGAACATTTCCGAATGCAATATTTTCAATATTTTTTATTATGATATTTAATATTAACATTAGTATATTAAATATTATAATATATTAATATTTTGAAATATAAGTGAAAATTTGGAAATTTTAGATTCGTTTAGGTTATAATAATTTATATTAACATTATATTATTAAATATTATAATATGTTAATATTTAAGTATAGCTTTTTTATTAATATTAATATAATTTTTCCAATATTATACTAAAACCAAATCAAAATTAGAACACATCGGGCAAGCATTTTCTATTTTCTTTCTCTCTCATACTTGCCTCATACTTCGTCGCCACAGTCGCGTCTAGTAAACGCGTGAAGCATGGCCGGCGGCCATGATGCAGACGAACGAACAGCAGTTCTGACAATGCGGCTACGGTCTCAATATGGTTGCGTTTCGTTAATCGCGGCAGAACTTTCGCGAAATTGTAGTCGGTAACTAATGGCCAACGGATTTTCTTATCGGCGTTGGATATTTTTTTAAGCACGCCACATTCACGAATTGCGAGAGATAAAACGAAATGTAGGTTAGAGGTTGCACGGAAAAGGTTTAGGCTTCGTTTTCAGAAATCACGGACGGAAACAACGTGTAACCCAGAAACCAGAAATACTCGTTTACGATTTGCACCTGATTTTCACTACTGTGGGACTAGAGGCGATAATCATCGACGCTTGCTCTATCTGGCGGATTTTCGTGCGAGCAAAAATGATAATCGAGATAATAATTAAAAAAATAAATAATAAAAGAAAGTAAATTTTTCTTTTCTATATTTCCCATATTTCTTTACACTATATTAATTACCATTTTTCAAATAAAAAAAATAAAGGAAATTTTTGCATTTTATAATTTTCATTCCTTTCTTACGATAGATCTAAATTTGGCTGATTTTCGTGTAAATAAAAATGATAATCGAAATAATAATTAAGCATTATCATTATCATATTATCATTATTATTATATTATTATTACAAATAATAGAAGTAAATTTTTCTTTTCTATGTTTCCCATGTTTCCTTACACTATTTTTATTTTCATTTTTTAAGTAAAGAAAATAGAAGAATTTTTTATTTTTTATAATTTTCGTTCCCTTTTTTCGTGTAAATAAAAATGCTAATCGAAATACTGACTATGTGGCGAAGGATAAAACGAACTATGTATTTCTTATTTGAAAGGAATATGCAAAATTAATTATAAACAGTGAGTTGTAAAATTTTATTTTCATTTTTCTTTTCAGTTTTTTATTTTTATTTTTCAAACGAAGAAAATAGAGGAATTTCTTATCTTTTTGTTTGTTTTATGATTGACGAATATTAGTAAAGCTTTCGACACCTTCCACCTATTCGAATATGCCCATCAGGACAACGCTGAGGAGCCATCACAATATGGTCATGAATATGTATAGGAGGAGAATTTTCTATGCTCGTACCCATAATGCTCGTCGTCATCCAAATCAATCCCAACAAGATAATGAATATGTATCTCATCTATTTGACAACAGAAAAAGAGAAAATATCAAATAAATCGTGACAGACAAAGGATACAAATTGGAAATTTCTCTGCGAAATATAATAACTATATTTTACAAAATATTTCTAATAATTCGATCATTAACAAATTCAACATCTACTCTAAAATATAACAAATATCTCTATCAAAATTCTATAACAATAAATATTTCATTTCTACAACTTCCACGATAATTTTAACAATATAATATTAATTAAATAGTTACAATATAATTTTACTCTTTACTATACTTTATATAAATAAATAGATAGATAAATATATGTAAAATAAATATAATTTTAACAATAAAATATTAAATTAAATAATTACAATATAATTTTACTCTTTACTATACTTTTTACAAATAAATAGATAGATAAATATATGTAAAATAAATATAATTTTAACAATAAAATATTAAATTAAATAATTACAATATAATTTTACTCTTTACTATACTTTTTTCAAATAAATAGATAGCTAAATATATGTAAAATAAATATATATGAAATAAATATATGTATATAATATGAAAACAAAATTTGTGAGATATTTTTAATATTTAAAATATTCGAAATGTAAATATTTATATAAAATATTAAAACGAAATGTTGTACTAGTTTTCAATGAAAAATATTTACAAAATACATAAACAATGGAATATAAATAACATTAATGAAGTGTTATAGAATTTACAAATAGTATCGCAAAGAAGCTTGCAACTTTCGAAATATAGAGATATTTTTAAATGAGTTTTAGAGTAGGATACATTTCGAAGTATTCTAACCGAACTTTTTAAACTGCTGCGCACTTGAACTCTGAAACTGGCCGGAACTCGCCACTCTTGAACTTGAAATCCCATTTGAAACCGACCGCGAATCGTTCGTAAATCGTGTGGCAAAAGAGCCTTAAAAATTATTAACCTAATAAAACTTTACACTTCTCATCTTCGAAATTCCTGAATTTTACTTAGTCTCGTCACTTTGAAATTTCCAATTACATAAATGGAAATGTACAAATCAAATGAATCAAGTAACCACATAATAAAATTTTAATTAACATAGTACAGGATGAAAATTATTTTAATATAGTATTTGATACATGATCTCAACAACTCTAACGACTCTTTGACAATCCTCACCTTTATAACTATTGACCTATAGTGTGACCTTCTGTTAACCTCAAACCTTAAAATGAAAGAAAAATTCTTGCATAATAATTTCTAGAAAGCACTATTTTATTTTAGTCTGTAGGTTCAACTCTTCAAATATGGATATGTATTTCTGAGACACCCTGTATACAGACACTTTTCTGAGACACCCTGTATGCAGGCTGTTTTCCTATCTTTTTATTGTCTTTATTTTACATACCTACCTCTAAAGCAGACTCTGAGATGTTTACTCGAAGTTAAATGGGGTGAGGATTATCTTCATGCAGTGGTTCAGACTCTGTCACACTTCTAGTACTCTGTATTTTCCACCATTTTCAAAACATACATTCATTACATACATTCTGTTATACTGACACAATCCTGTGGACTCTAGAGCAGAGAGTCCCCTAGATTGGTAATGCATCCTTCGTTCACAAGATATTCCTCGAGCACTTTGTCTAGACATCCTTCTTTCACATCTCTGGCACACTAGTATCACGCATGCACCTCATGCATCAGACCTCTATCGAATACTCTCCACTTATTGCACATAAATTCCATTATTCGCACATGATTCGATTAACGCTGTAACGAGAACCTTGAAAGCCTATGGTAGCTAAGGAACTCAAAACTTTGGGTAGCTGTGCATCCTTCGTTCATGCAAGTGGTTCCAAGTACTAGGTCTCAACACACTATTCTTGTCAGCTCTAGTATTCTAGACCAAGTGTTCTTTGTTTGTAAGTCTATCGTACAATCAACCAATGTTCACTTATTTCATGCAAGTTCTAGTAATTATACTCACAGGGTCCTATTAACACTGTGGTACCTTTCTATCTAGAGAATTTAAAATTTTAAGTAACTGTGCATCCTTAGCTCATGCAAGTGTTCCAAGTGCTAGGTCTCAACACACTATTCCTGTCAGATCTAGTATAGTAGACCAATTGTTCTTTGTTTGTATCAACCAATTTTCACTTATTACTCACAGGATCCTATTAACACTGTGGTACCTTTCTATTTAGAGGATCTAGAGAACTCAAAATTTTAATTAACTGTGCATCCTTCGTTCATGCAAGTGTTCCAAGTGCTAGGTCTCAACACACTATTCCTTTTCAGCCCTAGCATTCTAGACCAAGTGTTCTTCATTTGTAAGTCTATCGTACTATCAACCAATCTTCACTTATTTCATGCAAGTTCTAGTATTATACTCACAGGATCCTATTAACACTGTGGTACCTTTCTATCTAGAGTACTCAAAGCTTTGGATAGCTGTGCATCCTTCTTTCATGCAAGTGTTCCAAGTACTTGGAACCTCCAAACAGTACTCCACATCTCTAATAATCTAGACTAAGTATTTTTCATTCACATACTGCCTCACATTTCTAGCATACTCCAGGTCACGTATTTTTCATCCTGTTCCTGCACAGCATCAACAGTCTAAAACTAATTTAAATGTCTGTCGTTTATCATCCAGTCTTTGTTAATGGTATAATTCCTAGTACTTGGTCCAAACACTGTTCTATCATGTGTCTAATATTCCAGACCAAGTGCCCTTCATTCACATATTCTCTCACACCTCTGGTACTCTAGACCAAGTGTTTTTCGCTCACACACCTCTTGCTATATCAAACACTCCTCACTTGCTCATGAATATTATCGCTCCTACAGAGATTCGACTAATTTGCTTTCGATTTTGAATGAGAATAGTACTCACTGTTTGAACGTTTGTTTGAGTAGCTTCGACGCTGAGTGCAGAGGATGTCTGATACTGACTGTGGGTTATATAAAATCACCACGTTTATCGGAAAATTTATGGAAAAGTACGATATTAAAATGTTACGTTCGATAAGAAATAGAAAAATCGGTGGAACGTATTAGTGATACCAAGGAATGCGTAAAAATAGACATTCTTTCGTTGGCAATTTTTCAAAGATAACATTTGATTTACTGGCTATTTACGCGAGAAAATTATGGAAATAGCAACTAATTTATTTCTTTCTGGTTAATCGTGGATATTATTTCTGACATACTGTAACTGTACGCGATGTAATTACCCTAATTCTGCAGCAGGAACTTTCTCAGAAATTACACAAAAATGTGAAGATTAACAACCAACGGTGTTACTTTTATTTTAATTATGATTCTCAATTTTAATCTATATTTAATACAGATATCATTATTATTAAAAAATAATAAAATTGTATATAGAATAATAAATTTATTAAAAGATGGTCAAAAAAATTTGTAATATCTTCAAAATTTGAGCCATGAAAATATAAAATATTTTTAGGAATATATTAGAATAATTTCCAAGTTTCAATTTAATTTTTTAATTTAATGCTCATTTGTTAAATTTTTCTTTATTCTTTTTTAAATAGTTGCTAAAGTTTATTTATAAAATAATTCATATGCTAAAATGATATTCCCAAAGAAGTTTCATTTTTCATATATCACCACGGGCTATACTCGATTCGACGTAAGAACGCGCTACTTCAAGCAATGGCGATGCATCCTGTGTGCGCAAAAGCGAATCCTTGACGTTTTTTCGCTCGGTCAAGAATGCAATGTTCTAATTCTCTCAAATCACGCAGTCAAACGAATATTATGGAGAGAGGGTATCGCACAAAGAGAATGCTGGATCGTCACTACTCAAACGAAATTGAAATAGCGAAAGTGCTTGTAGAAAGTGAAAATCAACTGAACGCATTGGTACTAGATCAAATGCAATGTAGGGTTTAATATAGAATTTTTCTTAATGACATATTTTTATAATATTATTTCTAATTTTAGAAATATTATATTTCAGTTATAATCGAATTATATTGGAATTAATGGATAATTGAAATATTATTTTCAATTATATTTCGGATATTGTTTGCTAATTTTCATTAAATTCGAATTAAAATTACGAATTATTATTGTCAAGTCTAATGCATAAAATTTGAATAAATTTAGAGGAAGAATGAATGATAAGGAAAATGTAGATTTTTCGAAATCTCGTGTTCTAAGTGGAATACATCTGGTATCTCTATAACGAAAAGCTTTGCCAAAAGTGGTATGTAAAATCGGAGAATACGTACTGTGTTCGAATTGGCATGGATTCAATCACTTTTGTAGGGTACTTCCTTTGGAACATAACCTCTCCCGCTGAAAGAAACGTGGTGGATAAAGGCAGTACAATTGATGAAATAAATTGTTTTATCCTGACTTTGTAAAGTTTTCATAGATTCTGTGTAATACTTAAATCATCATGGAATAATTTTTGAGCTATAAAAATAAATAGTATGAATTTAACTCTGAATTAGTGAATTTAGGTCAGGTTGTCTTAGGTTATACAAATATACTTTCTTTTATTAATAAACATTACTAAAAGAATTCATGAAGACACACTAATAACCAATGCTCCTTCTAGCATTATTAATTTAAAAAGGTCTAGGAAATTATTTAATTGGGGTATTAATAGGAACTTGTCCGAAGACTATAGTGACACTTCAACTGATGCAATAAAAAATAACTGTACCTACTAATGCATAGTATCTGTTTTTAGTATCGGTATATTTTCTGCACATTTCCACATACAGAAAAAAGAAGGGCAGTTGTAGTATAGTATTACTGTGGAGAGACCTCCTTTAGACTATCCTCTATACAGTCCACTTCACCATTACCCTCTGGATTCCCATTTTCCGTATCTCTCAGCACCAATCATTCTGAAGGTAACCCTCGATTAGCTCTACCTTAGTACCTTACAAACACATTAAAAACACCTTTAACTCTATGTAATTGTATTCCTCCTTACACAAAGAAAACAAATATTGCAACATCAATTACACTTTCTCATTCTAATAAAGAAGACCTAACTAAAAAAGACAACAATTCAACGACTACTATGTAACAACGCAATAGTAAATGTAATGATAAGAGAAAATAGAACAGTATAAAGAAATACAGAAAAATTATTTTTGCAACACATATGAATAGATAGATTTATAACATTGAAGTCACTTGTGAATATATATATATATATATCCATTAAGAGTAGGAAATTTAACTATATACACAGTCCAAATATAAAATAAACCATTATTTCTACATATCTTCTTTCTCAACCAAATTCCTAACCTCAACACATAATCAAAATCTAATAAGAACTAAATAATACATATATGTTATAGATACTTAACAAGACTAAAAACATAAATAAAATAAAAGACACAGAGCAAATTAAAAATAAACCACTATCCCTACATTTGTTCCTCATTCGAATCCCCACCCCAAGACCACATTCCCAAACTCTACTCTGAAGATCTAAATAGTACAAACATGTTATAGATACTTAACAAGACCAAAAACATAAATAAAATAAAAGACAGAGCAAATTAAAAATAAACCACTATCCCTACATGTCTTCCTCATTCAAGTCCCCACCCCAAGAGTACATGAACAAAATTTCCCCAAGACCACAGTAACAACCAATACACCATGTACCCAGCAAGTAAAAGCGCAATATTCTAATAAAATAATAAAATTCATCATACCAGCAGCAAAAAGGGAGGCACGAAACGCGATCATAGGTTAGAAGCTATGCCCAAAGGCTCTTCATTGCGCGCGCTGCCTCTCAATCGCTATGGCGCCGGTATTATTATTACAGCCGTGTTCGAATTGGCATTAACATTCACCCGATGCACTCCCTCGTCGTTCCTCTCTCTCTCTCTCTCTCTCTCCCCCTCATACCCGACGTATAACGAGGCGCTCGCGTCATTCGCCGTTTTCGTAACGTGACTTTGTATCATGAACTTTTCGATGACGTTTGCGCAACGCTATCAGCCGGCGAGCACAAACCAAGCCTGCACGCGGTCGCACTGCTAGCAATGCACTTCTGCGCCGATTCGAACCGCGTATGCGCAGCGTGCGTCTTCGCGAGCGAGATAACGCGCCGCTGTCGCCGCAATCGTCGCCACCGTCGCCTCGCAGCGGTTCTCAATCCTCGGATCCCGGCAGAGGTCACTTACTACCGGCAGTGTACCGTGGCTGGCAGTTCGCAATTGTGCAATAGGTGGTCAACGTAAAACACATTCGTCGGTGAAGTACTGCTCGTAAGTAGAGAGAGATTACGCGTTGGTTTCTCGATTTACGAGCTCGGTTAACGATTTAAGAAAATCTACCTTTTCCCTTGTGTCTCGGCAGTGATTATAGCAGCGGATTTTTCGATTTGGAGTGATTCTTATACGCGATGAGAATGTTTTATACGGTCTTGGAAATATGGGGCCAGGTTAGGTTTGAGTGAATGGGGATCGGAGTATTGGCGAGCTGTGCAGGTTTTTCATTGAGGTTAGGAAACTTGGAGGGATACTTTCTTTTGTCTTAGATACAACAGGGTATTTTGTACAATATTTTAGTGTGTTATTGGTTATAGTGGTTTTTTGAACAAAAGTATATATGAATTTTTCTTGAACTTATAATTATATTTAGATAAAGGAGGAAGTGACCAATTATTTTTTGAGACAGGGAATTTGTTAGAATAATCCTAGGAAAATAAAAACGGAATTGGATTTTATTTTTCAATAATTCTTCATAATTTTTTTATTACATTCGAAATTGAAAATTCCAAGTTTATGAAAATTATAGAAGATTAGAGAACTCGAATGTTTCTTGAGTTTGAGGTTAGAAAATCGTTCACACTGGTCACTTTTCTTATTATTGGATCGAGTATTCGATAAAAATATTTTACTATGAATCATGGTACGAAATAAATGTATATTGCACGCTAATGCTCATAAGACTCATAAATTTTGCACGACCACTGTGTATTATGGGGATGGAAAGAGGCAAAAAGAAAATAAAACGAGTAATTTGAAAAAAAAGAAAAATTGGAAAAAGGCAAAAAAGACAGGAGATTTATGAATCAAGTTGTCACTTATTAAGTTTCACGAGTCTCGTTTAAAACGGGATACCGAAATGAAATGTTTGCATAAGAAATTCTTGTTGCATCTTGTATCTCTTTTAGCCTCGAACAGGATGATCGAGATGCAATGGGTTAATCGCTTAATTTTCTGGCGCACCCATGTTTCACATAAATTTCCGAGAGATTGATCGCACGGTAAATCTTCCAGCAACGAATACGAATCTCGAATTTCTGCCCGAGTTAAATAAGTCGTACGATCCACTTAAATACGAGTCGAAATTTAATAAAATAAGTCTCATAAATTAAACGAAGCTTAAATGAAATTATTGCGCTTAAACAAATTACCGTGCACCTTATCTTTTCATCTGACACGAAGGAAATTCGGGATGTCGATTTACAAGAAAAATTTAATAACAAAATTTTTATAATTTACCGAATTACCAAAAATAAATTGATGTTAAATATGGCAATTGAAATACATTCTTTCGTAGTTAATTTAAAAAAATATCGTCAAAGATATTCTCTTCTTGCTAGTAATTAATAAATATTTTTAATTATGTACTTTTAATTGATAAACACCTTTGGTATATCGTTATAAATATTTTTGGGGGATTTGAGGGCTCACGGTATTAACCCTTTGCGCTCGACGATTTTTTGGCTAAAGAGGGGTACCAGATGAAAAATTTTCTGCTATAAAGTTGATGAAATTTTTTGAGCAGTGAATAAGAAATCATATAATAATTGACACGTAGAATTATTCAATTTCGATACCTTGCATATTGTTGCATTATTTTAAATTTGATGTATTCATTAATATTCAGCTTCGAAGTTTTATTAAATGGTGACTCAAGGGCGCCT